GTAAAGACTTAATCAATGAAAACAAAAGATTATTAAATGAATTGAATTATAGTTTAAAATGCATTGAATTTCTCAATAATTATAGAAAATGTTTATTAGAATTCAAGAAAAGCTGTGTTTGTAATCACAGGTAAAATATCGTTATCCTGGGCAGCACTCTTAACCATTACTATATGTAAGCATAGAGATTAACCTGAGATTAATGTCGAATATCTCGAATACTATTAGTCCGATTGTAAATCTATTTCGATATTCATTACCAGTATATACATGGTAAAAAATAATCCCATTAGCCCATTTACCCCCGCCCACTTTTTCCACCCACCCTCATACAAAAATTTATCAATTTAATTGTGTGACCTATCAATTTAATGTACAATTTAATGCTAATCACGAATATCGAATCAGATTTAAAATGGGCATGATAGTATTCGAGATATTCGACATAAACTTCTTAACTTAATGCTAATACATAGTAATGGTTAAGAGTGCTGCCCAGGATAACGATATCTTACCGTAATCACAAGACACAACTTATTTGTTGACACACTTGAGAGACAATACCACAAGATCTTCCCCGACTCTGAGCCAAAGACATTAGTGGTCATCAAAGCTGAACCGAAGGACACAATCGATGACAACAATGAGAGCCAACACTCGGACTCTATGTCTGAGACTTTTGAAGCAATGGATGACAACTCGAGTGACACTCAACTCGAAGGCGAACTTTGCTCTACGAGTGATATTATGGACGACAACACTATGGGAAGCGATGGCCAGTCCTCATGGGTGATGACAATGTCGGCCAAAATCCCCTTCAAGAATGTTGTCCGCAGAGACGGCCGGCAGTGGTTTGGATGCAATACATGTGGCAAAGAGTATGAGTTGGAGTCACAACTACACCAACACTGGAATCAAATGCACTTCTGGCCCGAGAAAAACGCCAATACATGCAATGACTCGACACACATACCGAACACACACTCGACTGAAGTGTCTTTCAAACAGATTATCCGCAAAGACGGCCATCAGGTGTATGTATGCAATGCTTGTGGCAATGAATACAGACTGAAGTCAGTTCTGGACACCCATTGGCGGCGAATGCATTCACAGCCGATGCCAACGCCTGAACTGTTTAGCTGTGAGAGAGACGGCTGTACTTTCGAGACAACTATCGGCAAACTCGTGGACCGACACATCAATGCTCACAAAAAGGCCGATAAGGAAGCGATCCCACAGTCAAAGAGACTAAAGTCGAGTGAACCCGAGCCGAGTGAGTGCCTACAAGTGTGTCCGGTTGTCGGTTGCGGTCAGACGCTCGCGGCGGACAAGTTATTCCTTCACACACTCTGTATTCATACTATATTTAAGTGTCAGGAATGCGGCGAAGAGTTTGTCGGTCGAAACGCGCGGACAAATCACATGCGACGGTCGCACCCGAATGTGGGGACAATATACCGGTGCGATTGGCCCGGATGTGGTCACGTGACCACAACTATTACCACTAAAGATGAACACCGGCGGTCGCACGAAAACAAGCGGGACTTCGTGTGCGATTGGGCCGACTGTGGCAAACGGTTCAACACTGAGAAATACATGAGACGCCACGCGGCGCGCGTCCACACCGATGAGCGGCCGTTCGCCTGCGATTGGCCCGACTGTGAGGCCACATACAAGACAGCATCCAATCTAAAACACCACAAAGAAACACATACTAGCGATGGTTCGCCTCAATTTAAATGTACGGAACCGGGCTGTGAGGCCACGTTTAAGACTTCCAACGCATTCAATCATCACCGACTCGATCACAAGGGTATTCATAAGTACAAGTGTTCGCACTCGGGCTGTGTGTATGTGACCAATAGCACCGGAAACTTTTATGAACACCAAACTAGACATACAAATGTACGGCCGTTTCGGTGCGAAGTCCCGGAATGTGGCCGTGAATTTAGTACTAAACGTCATCTCAAGCGTCACGCAGTGGTCCACAGCGATGAGCGACCCTTCACTTGCGATTGGCCCGCATGTGAGGCCACATTCAAGACTACGGATTGTTTAAATAGTCATAGACTTACTCACGAGGCTATTCGGCAGTTCAAGTGTCCGGAGACCGGATGTGATAAGAGTTTTGTGACCAGACGTTGTCTTTCGAGTCATAGACGGAGCCATAGGAATGAAAAGCCGTACGGCTGTGATTGGCCAGAGTGTGGACAACGGTTTGCCAGTAATCAGGCGTTTAGAGCACATGTGAACGAACACCAGGGGATCCGACCCTATAGTTGTCAATACAGTGGATGTGATAAGAGTTTCGGCGGTAAATCCGGTTTTAGACAACACATGAAAGTCGTTCACAAACACTGCTTTTAGTTTAATTTGTGTAAATTGTATTGTATTAAAAATTTGTAATTACAGTATATATACTTATAATAAACATAATATTGAATATACATTTAATATAAATCTATAACGCAATTAAAAGTAATAAAAATAAAACTATTGAATCACTAATATTTGTATTACAATTAAAGACTGATTTGACTCAACGATTGATAACTTTTTGTTGAATGAAATATTATTTCTATAAAATATTAATTGTTTAAAAACTAATGAAGTTTTGTATTATTAAAACGACCAAAAACTGACCGATAAATACTTTTTGGTCACAAATTTTAAATAACTTTCAAGTAATTGAAAACAAATGAGACTTTAATTAGAAATCATTTAAATAGTAATTTGAAGAAAAGTTTTTGTGACTTTTGACACAAAACTACTCGTTATTTGTGTTTCATTTGTTGTGAGAAAACATTGTTTACAATCAAAACGTGTGATTGAGTTATCAATTGGTGTTTAAATTGTGATTAAAATCATGTCTAAAACGAGTGAAGAGTTAATCCATGAAAACAAAAGGCTTTCAAATGAATTGAATTACAGTTTAAAATGCATTAAATTTCTCAATAATTATAGAAAATGTTTATTAGATTTGAATGAAAGCTGTGTTTGTAATCAAAAGGCAAACAACTTATTGGTTGACACACTTGAGAGACAATACCACAAGATTTTCCCCGAGTCTGAGACCAAGACATTAGTGGTCATCAAATCTGAACCGAAGGACACAATCGATGACAACAATGAGAGCCAACACTCGGACTCTATGTGTGAGACGTTTGAGACAATGGATGACAACTCGAGTGACACTCAACTCGAGAGCACAGAAGAGAAGACATGCGATGGTATGGACGACAACGATATGGGAAGCGATGGCAAGTCCTCCGGCCGGCAGTGGTTTGGATGCAATACATGTGGCAAAGAGTATGAGTTGGAGTCACAACTACACCAACACTGGAATCAAATGCACTTCTGGCCCGAGAAAAACGCCAATACATGCAATGACTCGACACACATACCGAACACACTCTCGACTGAAGTGTCTTTCAAACAGATTGTCCGCAAAGACGCAAAGTACAAGTGTTCGCACTCGGGCTGTGTATATGTGACCAATAACTCGGGAAACTTTTACACACACCAAACTAGACATACAAATGTGCGGCCGTTTCGGTGCGAAGTCCCGGAATGTTGCCGTGAGTTTAGTACCAAACGTCATCTCAAGCGTCACGCAGTGGTCCACAGCGATGAGCGGCCCTTCACTTGCGATTGGCCC